TATATATACAGTGTATATACTCAAATCATTTCCTTATACAAGTATGAGCTTTTCCAATTTCATACACCTAAAATTGAGTTGTTTATGTTATACTGTATGTGTTGTATCTTGTTCTTGGGTTAATAAGACATTTTGCAACAAAGAAACGCACAAAGACAAAAACATTATCACACTTTCTTCTTTAACAGCAGCTGATAAACATCATACGGAGCCCAGCGGTCTCCGTAACATCACCTTTTCAGATGGTTTAAAGTCAAAGTTGTGGTCTGTGTAGAAAAGAGAAGTGGCTGGTGGAGATGTGACTGTTTCCTGACTCACTTATCCTCTGGCTCACTCTGTTTGCTGAACTAGTTTTTGTAAATGAACTGCTGTTCCCTCATTAGAGTCTGGTCTGTTTTATCACCCAGTAAACTGTTGAAACACAACAGAGCGGGCCGTTATTTTTCATCTGCTAAAGCTAAGTGCCTCGCTCCTCTGGGGTTTAATTATACTGTGTTGAAGTGAATTAGAATTAATGAAACACTTTGTAATACTTTAGGACAGAAGCTGCACATACCGTTGTCCTACTTTTCTTTTTTTTTTATCTCTGCAGATTTATCATGCGTTCGCTGTCGGCTGTTCTACACAAGTTTATTACGCTTTTCATTACTGTCATTGCAAAATGTCTTTTTTGTTGTTCTTGGGCATGTTTCAAAACCACTTGGGAAAAACGCAAAGTTAGATTTTAGTTTATTTTTTATTTAAACCGACCTTGTTTTTCTTGTTAGAATTGTTTTTTTTTTTTTTTTTTTAATGTTTTTTTTTATTTTTTTTATTTGGTTCTCTTTATTCTTAGTTGAAGAGGGATTCATGTGCAAAACTCCAGCCATAGCTGACATCGTGATTCTGGTGGATGGTTCCTGGAGCATCGGACGCATCAACTTCAGGCTGGTTCGGACCTTCCTGGAAAACCTGGTCCGGGCCTTCTCTGTGGAGTTCGACAAGACGAGGATCGGTGAGGATGTGGTGGAGTTCTGCACTGTTTGAAGTCAGTCATTGCACTGAGATTTCATGAAACAATGACACTTCTTCTTTTTTTTCTTTTTTTTTTTTGTTTGTTTGTTTGTGCAGGCCTGGCTCAGTACAGTGGAGACCCCAGGATCGAGTGGCATCTAAAAACTCACACCACCAAAGCGGCTGTGATAGACGCTGTGAAAAACCTGCCGTATAAAGGAGGGAACACACTAACAGGTACAGAGTCAGACAAGAAACAAGAAGAAATTTTATATTTCAGTTTTTATTGCTGCGTAAACATCCCTCTGAATTTAGCTTGTTTGCCTTCATGATATATTGCATTTATCTATAAACTAGTCAACAACCTCTAGATTATTATACTAGATTAGACCAGAGGTAGTAAATATTTTTTCCTGTTTTATTACACATGACATGAAGCATTTGTATGGAGTTCAAACTTGAGCAAAGCTTTATTTTTAAAGCTTTTATTTTTTTTAAACTTCGCAGAAAGAAAAACCTTCCTCAGCTGATGACAGCATGCAGCTATTATTGGTTTTTAATTTGTGGTTGTGTCTTATAAAGGTGGTGGCCAAAAATGGGAAACGCTGACTATTTTATTTTGATTTTTATGTTTTTTGTCACTTGTTTTCTAATATTGTCAAGTGGAGTTTGGTCAGCAAGTGTTTAGTTTAGTTTAGGTTAAATAGTTTATTC